ATAAAAACAAAAAATAAAAATAAAAGACACATTATCACTGCTTCCAAGTGTCTCCAAATCCAGATGAATTGTTCATCATTCAGAACAATACTGTCACGTTGAGAAATACACTGGGAAACAGTTATCAGCAGGAGAGTCTTCTGTAACAGCTTCACTTCTGTCAGTTGCTAAGGGTAAGGCACAGACATGGCTGTCATTTCTAGTTCATGTTTCTTCTGGAAGGCGCTACAATGCAGACATAATAATCAGCCCAACTTTCCTAATGAAAGCTGGAGAAAAGGCCATTCCACTGTGTTTTACTCCGTTTGCTCCTGTTTAATGAAAGACTCATCTAAATAAAGATGCCATTTTGTATTAATCCGTTCACCCCTGACACTCAGTATCAGTTTAATAACAATAATAAGCTAATAACAGGAGCTATCATCTTTTGGGTGAGAACGGTTTAATTTTGACATCATGAGGATCAAACTTGGAAAACTCTTCCTTTCCCAAGAGCTTCTGGGAATTGTGAAAACAGCAGAATGGGGCTTATCTTGATCCGAACACATCACGTTGCCATTAACAAATAAGCTTTGCCTTTCACACGGGGAGAGCAGAGATGATTCCCCTGACAGAATTACAAAAAGAGAGTGGCTGCATCTTCCCGTTCCGGGCCAGTAAATGACTTCAGGGTGAAGACGGAGGCCTGGTTGATTGGTTTTCAGGTTTCCTTTAGAAGCTAACATTGTTATCTGATTAAACGGGTTTCCCCTGTGATGTTGCAAAACAATGCTGAGAATGTATATTCACACAAAAACATACACACCTATTTACAGCAGCTCTAGTTAAACTGGGAACTGCAGACACCCAAAAGCTCAACAGTGCATGGGTGAACACACTGGGAGAGCCGCACAATGGAAAACTGTTAAACAACACACAAACACTAGTGCCACCGGGCTCAGAGGCACTGTGTGGAGTGACAGCAGCAGCCTCCAGTATCTACAGTCTGATTCCATTCGTAGGGGACTCTCCAGAATGCACACCCTTGGGGACAGAGAACTCTCAGTAGCTGCCACGGGAATAGGGGTACAGGGAGGGGACAGGACAAAGGGGTCTCGCATGATAGAACAGTTCTAGATCCCGATTACAGTCAGAATCCCAAATTCAAATTTTGCAAACCGAAATTCTGTACCCATTAAACAAGAACTTCCCATCCCCCTCTAGTCCCTGGCACCCGCCATTCTGCTCTCCATCTCTATGAATTTGGCTACATACATACACTCTCTGTCCTGCTGCGACTGGCTTATTTCACTCAGCACGATGTCCTCACCATCCCGGCATGTTGTGGCGTGGGTCAGAGTCCCCCCCCCGAGGCTCAGCAGCACTCCATGGTATGGACACAGCACAGTCTGTTTATCCATCCCCCTCATGGCCACGTGGGCTGCCTCCACCTCCGGGCTGGTGTGATAATGCTGTTCAAGGCCCTGCTTTTGATTCTCTTGGGGCTGTGTCCAGAAGTGGACCTGCAGGATCATACGGTAATCCCATGTCTAATTTCTGGAGGAACTGCTACACCCTTTTCCTTGGTGGCTGCGCCATTTCACATTCCCAGGGTGAGCAGGGGTCCCGGGGTCCCCACCTGCTTGCCAGCACTTGTTGTGTGTTGTTTGTTTGTTCTTACAGTAGCCATCCTCAAGGGTGTGAAGTGGTTTCTCACTGTGGCCTAGAGTTGCATCGTCCTCATGATTAGTGATGTTCAGCATGTGTTTATCGGCCCCTCCTGTAATTCTTTATATCATGTTTTATTAACATATCTGTTCCTGACAGATTGGAAGTGAAACAAGCACGCCAGTGCTTTGCATGGATCTCTTGAGAGGCCCTGGTTGCCCGGCACGGTGGGTGTCAAGGACAAGCAGAAGCCTGAATAATTTGGGGATCAGGAGGGAGGGGAATTGGCCAGTGTCATTTATAAGTCAGCTCACTCCATAAAGGGATCCAAGGGAGCGCCTGCTATTTCTGCCTCCCTCCAGCCCAGGCTGGCGCCTGTGCAGCTGTCACGCCTCTTCCAGTTACATTTAAATGTTAGAAGTTCGAGTTACCTACATGGTCTGAAATTGCAGCTGGTGACCTTTCAGCAAATGCCAAAGTTCTTTCAGGGCACAGAACAGCCCAGACACACAGGGCGTCTAGAAGGCCCAAAGGAAGTGGGGGCAGGGTCCAGCTCACAGCTTTTTCAGTGTCACTGATGCATCCAAAGCTATTTATGGGCTCGCTCTTCTTGGCGAAGGGTTCTTGCAGGCCTGCATGGAAGGAGTGAGGACAGAGTCTCTGAACAGTAAGGCAGTCTTAGGGCAGTTCGCAGGTGGGGCCTCCACCTGAAGGCTAGGATCTGGGCTTTGACTGTAGAGGACTAGCTGAGGGCATATTCTCTGTTAGCAAAACTCTGCCAGGATGCTTTCCATGCACTCCCTCAAGTGACCCCAGCAAATGCTCTTGCATGAAACCTCAGCATTTCTGCTTCCAGCATGGCAGACCCTTTGGGATATCTGCTCAGCCCATGATCCCCATCTTAGAGAGAAGTGTGCCCTGCCCGTAAGAAGAAAACCCAGGGCCACGTTTGTCTTATGTGACCCTGGTCTACGGCTGCAGCTAACTGGACACAAGCTAAGACAGTCAGTTTTTTCCTCCGGGGAACTTGGTGTGAGACATGGAGATAGAGTGGACTGGATGGCCGTGCTGGGACGAAGGATGTGTCTTCGGGATTAGGAAAGCAGTGGGTGCTGGGGTTCAGGAGAGTCCCCTGAAGCTTTCCAAAAAATTCCCTTTCTGCCTTAGCCAGAATAAATAAGTGTCTGCGACCTACAGTGAAAATGACCTTAACTACAATAGATACGACAATTAACATTTTGCAAATGAAGAAAGGGAGACTCAGAGAGGTTGGAAACGTTACCAAGCTCGGCCAAGCCTAGTCAGCATAGCCTACGTTATGGTGCAGCAGCGAATAAACCTGAAATCCCCGTGGCTTAACGCAGCAAAGGTTTGTTCCTCCCTCCCGTCCCAGGCTCACGCAGGCAGGGCAGCAGCTCCTCCAGGCTCCTGCCACATCATGAACCTGCACAAAGATGCATGGCATCAGAGGACAGCCCACCCTAATGCAGGCAATCGAGGCTGATCTCATCTTACTTCTTACTTTAGTTAGATCTGCAAAGACCCTCGTTCTAAATGGGGGTCACATTCAGAGGTTCCAGGGTTTGCACATGGACGAGTCTTTTGGGGGAATACCATTCAGCCCACCAAAGGCATCTTGAACTCCTCCCAATTCTGGACATGAGGACTAGGCCACGGTGGGAAACTCTGGGAACCAGTGATGCTCAGGTGAGCTTTGACCTCCCTCCTGGTCACAGGGAGTTCCATCAAATGCCCGGTGGCACATGCTATTGCTAGCCTGCCATGGTGGCGAGGCCAGGGAGTCAGATGCCTCCAGTTGAGCTGGGCAGATGCTTTCCTAACCTTTGACAAAGGACTGAGCAGCAAGCGTGCCATGGTGGAGCAGCTCCTCTGTAGATTTGCTTAGAAGACTTAGAATGTGACTTTCAGGTCAAGTATGTGAGACTACAGAGCCTCTAAGAATGCTGTAGGGAAACAGCACTGTGCCATCTCAATAGCAGAAAAGGGTCAGGTGGATTGGCTCATGCCTGTAATCCCAGCACTTTGGGAGGCTGAGGCGGGCGGATCACTTGAGGTCAGGAGTTCAAGACCAGCCTGGTCAACATGGTGAAACACCATCTCTACTAAAAATACAAAAATTAGCCAGGCGTGGTGGTGCATGCCTGTAATCTCAGCTACTCGGGAGGCTGGGGCAGGAGAATTGCTTGAACCTGGGAGGTAGAGGTTGCAGTGAGCCGAGATCGGGCCACCGCATTCCAAGCTGGAGGACAGAGACTCCATCTCAAAAAAAAAAAAAAAAAAAAAAAGGCAGGAAAAGACTCCCAGACCACAGGTCTCTCCCTCCATGCTTTGAGAACCAGATGCCAGCTGAGTTACAAAAAGTTTAAATCTCAAAAGGTGCTTTGTGCATCAGGGGACTTTCCAGAGGGCAGCCCCAGCTAGAGTGGGGAAATACTGGTGTTGGGTGTGGTCAGTGGACAGAAGGCGATCCAGTGCTGAAAATCACACAGTTTCCTGCTGAGAGAATGTGGAGTGAATGGGGAGTGTTTGAAGGCGAAGGAGCAGGATTGACACAGACACCTGTTTTTAGTTCCCAAGTGGAATTCTATGGACAGATCTATTTTAAATCCAGTGCTCGAGAAGGGCCACTTAGGTGTTACCTAGCACCTGAGAGAGCTTGCCACAATCTTGGACTCTGATCCAGTAAGACCAGGGTCAGTGGAGGGAGAAACCATGTCTATAGAGACTTTAGTGAGAAGCCCGCTTGCTGGCAACAAATTGCATTTCCTTCAACCCTGTCCTTGTAGTGAATCCTTTATCTATGGTAACCAGACTGTAGGGGGTATTAGGCTTTGTGAGGGGAGTAAAGTGCTGTGCTTTTATAGAAAAAATTGTCACTTGGTAACAAGTAAACCTTGATTTGCGACTCAGGTGGTTACATCTGTGCTTGGGAGGCCAGGGGGCCACACGCAGGTACCACCAGTAAGCCATCAGCTCCCCCATTTCTAGGAGGGCATGAGCCACCATGTTCAGGCTACGTTGTTCCTCAGCTGCAATCCTGAACAAGGCTGAGGAACAAGGGGCCAGGCCTGAATGGGACCACATGCAGGGAAAGCCGTATGCTGGCTCCCAGTGGCCAGACTGCCTGCACTCAGGTCCCCGCTCTGCCACTCATTGGCCGGAAGCCTTGAGCCAGTCACTTCACCTCTCCTCGTCCATTCTGTCATCTATAAAATGGATTATTCAGAGTTTCTGATTCACTGGGTTGTTGTGAAGACTACCTGAGTTATCTAATGTTATACGCATCAGCAGTCATCGTCATCATCATTGGACACAAAGCAATGAAGACTTTCTTTAAAAGGAGAAATAAGTTTATTTCTCCTCCATCCACTCTAAATACATGTCGCCACCAGTGGCGTGTCGGAGACAGTATTTTGGTTAGGGAGTGCCAAGCATTCTACAGCATCTGATGGTGAAAATAGCCGTGCGTTTTATTTCTGCTATCTAGGAATGTGAGGTGCACAGCAGGTCGGGGTGCTGCTGTGGGAGACAAACGGTCCAGGTAGAGGCCATTCTCCGGGACGCAGGCAGGGCAGGTGTTCACTGGGCAGAGTGCTTCTTGCACACCTGCAGGAACTCCAGCACGTCGTCCGGAGACCCCAAGACTATCGGCGCCCTCTGGTGGATGTCTGTGGGAATGACGTCTAACACGGCCTCCTTCCCGGTGGTGGCCATTCCCCCAGCCTTCTCCATGACGTAGGCCATGGGGTTGCATTCATACAGCAGTCTCAGCTGGAAAACAAGACCAGAGAGAGGCCTCCTCGTACCAGAAGGTATTGCATAAAAAAAAGACTTTTCTGCAGCAAAACGTGAAGAGCTGGTGGGAGATTCCAAGGGAACGGATCCTCTCTTTTTCCTTCCTGTGAAGCTGTAAAAGCTCCCCCTGACCTCAGGTTGCATCTGAGACCAAACAGTGAACCATCTGGTTAAATTCAACCATTTGTCAAGCCAGGACCAGCGATAGATTACCTGATGCAAATGTAAGACAGACCACCTGCATACTGGACAGAATGACATTTTGGCAGAAGGAGGCACTGCCTTCTCTTTATATTACGGAAACTGGACTTAATGAGTGACTGTGTGTGTGTTGGATGGAGCTTCACCTATTCTAAATGCATTCAATAAATCCACGGTGGTGTCTGGCTACAGACATCTGGAAAGCAGACTGGCTTGTCCAAACAGTGCGATATTGTTTGCAACTCGGCATGCATTCCTTTTACGATTCTCCGAAGGCTTGTGGGTTGAAATTCAGTGTATTCTATACCCTGGCATAGACTTTTGCATATTAACTTTGTACCGCATGCCTTTCCATGCAGTCTGCCTACTGAGCCACAGCCTTCTGCAGGTGTTTCCCGACTCATTTCCATATAGGTGTCATGGCTACTTTTGAAAAACTGAAAAAAAAAAATACAGGAGCCTCAATATTTGTGTTCAGGAACAATTTGGGGAGCTTTAGAGAAAAGTTCTGGAAAGCAGGCTAACCACACAGGTTGAGATGCCTGAGGCAGCTACAGCTGGGTAATGTTTTCAGTAAATAGAAACACCTTCACTCCAGATGCCACATGCTGCAGACAGACCTGAATACATCCAGGTACACAGGTTTCCAACGAGTTTAAGGGGATTGTTGTTCCTGTTCTCTTGCATTAAAAAAAATAAAAATAAAAAGGCAGCTGGGCGTGGTGGCTCACACCTGTTAATACCAGCACTTTGGGAGGCCAAGGCGGGTGGATCACTTGAAGTCAGGAGTTCAGGACAACGTGGTGAAATCCCGTCTCTGCTAAAAATATAAAAAGTAGCTGGGCGTGGTGGTGGGCACCTGTAATCCCAGCTACTTGGGAGGCTGAGGCAGGAGAATCACTTGAACCTGGGAGGCGGAGGTTGCAGTGAACTGAGATCGCGCCACTGCACTCCAGCCTGGGTAACAGAGTAAGACTCTGTCAAAAAAAAAAAAAAAAAAAAAAAGCCATCTGTCCACTGGGAAAACATAAGGAGGACACAATACTTGGGAAGGAAGCGCATTGTCACCCTGGCAGAAGGAAAGCCAGGGCGGCTCTGAGCCAGCGTGGGGGAGCACAGCCACCCTCCAGCCTGCCGAGAACACTGTGGGCTTGGACTGGTGGGTCGGTGGTGATGGGTCACCCGAAAGCCCTAGGTTTCCCCAGAGAGTCTTTCTTCCTCTGAAAGGTAACATTTTCCAAGCAGGAGATGTTGACTCACTAGTTACCTCTGTTTTACACCTTTTGAAAGCAATCAAAGACTTCTATTGGGAAGACATATTTGATTTGCTGCCTTGGAAGTGAGGCTGGCTTGTTTCCTTTCACTTTATGAGTGGAATTCATTTTGCCCAAGCCAAGCCATGTACCCACTGGAAGCCCTAAGGACTTTTAGTCCATCCTGACCATTAATTCCCTTTTGCCACAGCACTAGAAGGGCTCTCAAGACTATTTTTATCTTTAGTTGATATCATCTGGCTTTATCTTTAATCCATACAAGAATATGCTACAGACACCCTTAGTGACCTACCAAGGAGCGTAACCACTAGCAAAACCTTTCTTCTTCCTAAACCAAATCGCATGGGCTGCAAGTGAAATCTGCTCCTCATTTCCTCTCCAGGGGACACACTTACCTTTCCGTTGGGGCTCTTCTTGTTAGCGGGGTACAGAAATATCCCTCCGTAGACCAGAGTGCGGTGAACATCAGCCACCATGGAGCCCACGTACCTGGCACCATAGGGGGCTGAATTATCCTGCAAGGTTAAGACCAGCAAGAATTAGGGTTGCAGAAAATAAAAAAGAGGATTTTCTTTGTGTCTCCGAAGTTTCTTTGATTCCACATCCATTCACAGAGCGCCTACGAGGGCTGCATTTGGGGCTGTGCTGAAAAAATGTGATGAAGAATCCTGTTCTCAATAAATAGAAAATGGAAAAGTGGAGACAGCCTCTCATCATCTCACAATAGGTCAGATTACCCACAGAGGCCCCAACAAGGATATGGTTGATTCTGGCTATGGAGCTGAGGCAGGCATTACTAAATTTACACCATTTAGTGGCTTAAAGGCTGAGAAGGTTTGTTACCAAGCTGAGGAACTGGGCAGGGGTGGGAGTCGGTGTGTATTTTACAGGACAGGAAACTGCAAAAGCATCTGCTTAGCAATGAGGGAAATGGACCTGGAGGAGCAGCCCGCGGGACTCGGGTGTGTGAGTGCAGAGGTTGGGGCAGGAGGGGAATCCAGGGTAAGGTGAAAGGAGAGATGAATAAGCTGGAGACAGAGCCTGGGGCAGATCTGAGGCTCCCTGAACATCCTGCAAACAACATTGGAGCTTCATCTCCAGCAAACAGCAGCCATCAATGGCTTTTAAACAAAGAAAGGACAAAATCCGATATTCCACATAGAGCGAGCTCCATGCTCAACCATTTCTTCTCTTCACGTGCACTAGCTTGCAGCCTCTTTAGGGAGATGCCACAATGGGCACTCTCAGTCTCGACATGATTGACAGATGCATCTCAGGCAGGCCCGGTGAGGGGCAGACACCACTCGGAGGCATTTGGGTGGGGGAACCACATTTTGTGCCATCTGGGACCATGGACCCCAGAAGGGAAGATGTTTTATTGCCATGAATTCAGGCATTTGATTAACTTTGTTATCCTAATTTCCTTCTGCCAAGAGAAAGTAGCAAAGGCTGAAATGGAGACTGATTTTGATGTCTCAGGGCAAGAATTCCAGTCCCCAGTACTACGGTGAGAACTTCATCAGGGGCTCAGTGTAGACGGAAGCCCACTCTACTCCCCATCCCTGCTTCCCTTCCCCCTCCGGGGTAAATCATCAACCAACAGATTTCCACACTGCTCAGGAGCCCCACATGAGGTCCAAGGCCCTCGATCCCAGGGATGGCTTTCATCTCGGGGGGATGCCCCTGCCTCCAGAATGGCCCCTGGTGCCAGATGCCCAGACCCAGCACCATCCTCCCTAGGCCCTCACTTACTGGGGGGAACTTCTTCCTCTGGACATACTCAGTGACAGCAGGGTCAAAGTCCTTGGCGTAGCCCTCGTTAAGGCTGTAGATTTTACCTTTCTTTTTGATCTTCACATCCTTGTCCACCAAAATGAACTCCCCGATGGCCTTTTGAGACAAGGAAGGAAAGGCAGAGAGATGAGGAGTGCACCCTCTCCCCCAGGCCTGGATGAGGCAGGGGATGGGCTGGGCTGCGCTGGGCTGGGGTCATGGCCACCGGCACAGCTCATCCTGGGCCCCACAACACCTGCCAGATTCTCCTGGAACTGTGAATGGGGTGAAGGGAGGCAAGAGGATGCTGGAGAACCCATCAGGGTGGTAACGGAGACTTTTGACTTTGTTCGCAAATGATTTCAGCAAAACAAGAAAGAAGCCACACAAAAATAGGGAGAGCAGACTTGTAAAACAACTGCTAAGCCTGCAAGAGAGTAAGAACTGTGTGTCCCAGGGAGGGGAGCACTACACACTGGGGTCTGTTGGGGGGAAATAGGGGAGCGACAGTGGGGGGTGGGGAGTTGGGGAGAGAGAGCATGGGGAGAAATGCCAGATGTAGGTGAAGGGGTGGAAGGCAGCAAATCACACTCCCATGTGTGTACCTATGCAACTATCTTGCATGTTCTTCACATGTACCCCAAAGCCTAAAATGTAATAATAAAAAAAAAAGAACTGTGTGTCCAAAGCAATATAAGATGAGTATGCCTTCACCCAACAGAAAAAAAGAGTTTGTTCAGGCAGTAGGCTCTCAGGAGACACTGGCCACTGTGGGATCAGTCCCGAGTGACACTGAAGTGCTCAGTGATGTTCTTGGCTTTACATTTCTATCCTGACGAAAGTTCTCCCAAAAGGGAGAACTAGGTAATAAAGTAGAACCCTGAGTTTTGAGTCCCGCATAGGTAACTTCTTTGCCTTTGCTCGCTGGCATCCAAAGCTTTTCTGACTGCCTCCTCCCACACAGCCCAGTGTTGAGCTTAGGCCTTTAAGCTTGGGGTTCTTCAAAGGAGATTTGGATCTGGAGGAAAAGCGTTGCAGAAGTCTCACTGCTCCGGACTGGGGATTGTTATGGGTTCGGGCTCTGCCCATTTAGGACAGGCTTGACCACTGACACAAGAGTTGAAAAGAAAAAAGTCCTATCAACACCTCTCTGCCTAGCCATTTATTCCCACAGCAAAAACTGGTTCCTACTCAGACGGAGTACATTGCAATCAGACAGACAGTGAGGGAGGGAGGAATTCACAGTGGCCATTGAAAAGTGTCATTGGAAGTGATTCCGCTTTTTTACTTTTATGTGTTTTTCAATATCTTCAAAATGCTTGACCACAAATATACAGGAATATTCTTTTATCATTGGTACGAAAATAAATAAATGTCTTTAACAAAAAATGGATAGAAAGTCATCTCACGACAGATGCTGTGTGCAGAGCACAGGGTCCAGCCAGACTGTCCACGGTGCAAAGGGGGTAAGTTTGTGTATGGAGATGAAACATAAACGCTCCCACAAAGTGAAAGCCTGCTAGAAACCCAGGTACAGCTGTCAGTGGTCTTAATGGAAACCATCAGCCTGGCCTTGCAGCAAGCCCAAACCAAGAGGAAGCACTTAGCATCTCCCTGGTGGGAGGCTCACCCCCCACCCCTGCACCCCGTCAGGCACAGCAAGGAGAAGGGCTGGAACCAAATCCCAGCAGGCCTGCACGGCGTTGCACTTCCAAACATTTAGGACTGAGGAGGGTAAAGACTCTCAAACACACAGAAACGTCCTTACGGAGACGCTCATCTGCCATCTGGAAACAAGAACAGATTTAATGTTTTCTCTGCTTCCACCAACTCACAGGTAACAACTAGAAGAATGGGAAGCAGTCAGGGTCTGGTGAGGCACCGTCAGCAAATATCAGCGGCGCCTGAAATCACATCCTGGGCTCAGGTAGAACTTTGCTCTGGTTCAGCCACTAACCACCTCGCCTCCCACCCCTACCCAGGTCACCGCATTTGGAGACTTTAACTAGCGCCCTTACCCTACCCTTGTTTATTTGTTAAGGGCCCATGCTTCCAAGGAGGCAAAAGTCCACTTCCCTAACAGCCTGGGGCAAAGGCAGCCTGTGTTGTTAGCCTTCCCGCCACACACAGACCTGGGCTCCCCAGAGGGTTCCCACTCCCTGTGTGCTCCTGGGGTTCACTTTGCCAGCAACAAGCACTTTATGCACAGTTCACTAACGTCACAGGAGGACATCCCTAAAAGTTAAACAGTTGGCCGGGCCTGGTGGCTCACACCTACAATCCCAGCACTTTGGGAGGCCAAGGCGGGCAGATCACCTGAGGTCAGGGGTTCAAGACCAGCCTGGCCAACACAGCGAAACCCCATCTCTACTAAAAATATAAAAATTAGCCAGGCGTGGTGGCACATGCCTGTAGTCCCAGCTACTCGGGAGGCTGAGGCAGGAGAATCACTTGAACCCGGGAGGCAGAGGTTGCAGTGAGCTGAGATCGCGCCATTGCACTCTACCTGGGTGACAGAGCAAGACTCTGTCTCAAAAAAAAAAAAAAAAAAAAAAACC